GAAGCAAAGATATTGGGATTAAAAGATTTGAGTTTCTCACTCAATTCTTTTTCAAATTGTTTATTTACATATTTTCTTTTCTTAAACTATGCTAAACTTTGACCCTGAGCCAAAAAAAATATATAAAACGCAGCAAAACGAATGTAATTAAACGATCACTTTTTGACTCGTTTTAAATTCTTTCTCTTAAAGGACTGTAAAGGAAAAATGAGAGGGGATATAGGATGAAACCTGAGAATCTCAAGCGTTAAAAGTTAGTGCTGTATCGTTGTCACGTGATCAGTATACTGCACTGTCATTGGCTGAAGTAATGGTAATGTAATATGGACTATATGTAATTATATATCTATTATATCTATTAAAAATGCAAAATAAAAATTTAAAAATTATAATAGGAGCAAACCTGAGATTTCCAGGGTCCTGTGGGATATCGTCGTTTTCAGATTGTTTGCATATTTGTTGAATATGATCTGTTTAATACTACAACTTTGAATTTTCGTATAAGTTGCATATCAATTTCTCGAGACAGGAACATCAGAGAGATGTTGTATAGGTGTCGTTTAACGCCTGAAACTTTCAGGTTTCATTGAATACCCCCTATTTTCCTTTACAGTCCCTTTAAAATAGAATTATAGCACGTTTAATTAAAGCAAACTTAAACAGAATACGATTGTTAAATATTGGAAGTTGATTATGAAATAAATCGGAGTTTTCATTGGGGTAAATAAACCAATGTACGGCCTATATTAAACAGCAAAAAGTAGTATTAAGATGTTGATATTTCAGATGGCTGAGCCGGAAAATGAAAATTACAATTCTCTTGGATCAGACGAAGCAATTGGGAACGATTATTCTCTCAAACCAAATAATTTTAAAATATTTAAAAATGGCGTCGTTAATTTCATCAGAAATCCGCTAGGGGGAATAATGTCAAGGAAAAAGAAGAACTCAGTTGGTTCGCAGGGTTTAAAGGACGGAAATGTAAGTTTACTGTTTTGTCTTTTTTACAGGGATAATTATGCCATAAGGTTGTAAACACGTTTTTATCCAGTACGTTGTATAATTTAAATTCAGAATGATTTAGATGTCGTGATTTGATAGGAAGTAAGCCTTTCCACCTTTATAGTGTAGATTTATTACTTATACGATATTATATGAATTAATTTATATAAAAGTAATGGCTCAATGTACAGCATAATTATTTTATGTTGTATTTAAGAAGATTGATTTATAAAAATGACTTTTTAAAATCTTAACATTTAGGTTTCTCCGTTTCCACTGTTAATTTGTTCCACTGCTCCCCTAGGGCCTGGAGGGATTAAAATATAAGGAAATTATTGGTTCGGGGGGGGGGGATTAAAATATAAAGATATTATTTGTGTAGGTTGATGTTGAAGTAGAAGATGGAGAGGAAATTACTCTTGATGGAGAAGAGGAGAAACATCAAGATTCACATTTAGGACAATCCAAGATTAGTTCTCTTGTCAGTACTTTAGGTGTTTAACTTATAATACTTATAACTTAAGCAGGGGGCGGAAACGTCATGTGTGTGTGTCTGTACCAAAAGAGTGTGTGTAAGGTTTACCTAACTGGTCTGCAAAGCAGTGCGACTGGCTTTCACGTGCCAGACCAGCGCCATTTTCTTTCCCTTTATTCCTATTCCCTGAACTTAAGTAATTGAGGCTTTGCCACAAACTCTAATGTGCTAATCCCTATATCTTTGGAAACCAAAGGTTCACATCAAGAAAATTTAAGTTTGTGGCTTTATTCCCCTTGTTTATTTGATAAAAGATGAAATTCCTTCTAAAGATCTAATATATCCATATAATACTCTATTATTGACATTGTTTAATCCTAATATTATTGTTGTAGCTTTAATGAAAACCCTCGCTAAGAAGACAGATCCATCTCACAAAGAAAACATTCCAGGCAATATTTTTACCTAATTTTTCAATATTTTATTTTCAGAAATATTAATTTTTATTTTAGAAGAGGCCAAAACATGGAAAGAACGTCTTACGTTTATAGCTGCTAATGCTACAGGAGATAAGGTGTTTAAAATCATTTACACCTTTAACATCACGTACACCGCCTCCCCTCCCCCTTCTTGTATAAATGTTAAAGAGTTCTGCAGTTTTAAAAATAATCTTTGTTAAGAATGAGTTTAAATATTGCATATTCGCAACTCGCGCCACATACAAATTTAACTTTTGTTAAATTTTGTACCAAACTTTAATTTCTTGTACATTTGAAAATTAAACAATACAAAATTGGGGGAATTTTCAGTTAAAAATATATATATATATTGTGTCAATTATAAATCACTTGAGAAAAATATGTGATTTTGTTTATTCAATTTTATTTAATTTAATTTGATTTGATTTAATTTGGATTTGATTTGATTTAATTTGATTTGATCTGTAGGATGCCCCGTCATATTTCGGGGGATATTTTCGAGGATATCTTGCCTTCGACAACAGTAAAGAGTATTATTACAATGTAAGAAGTTATTAATTTTCGAATATTTTATTTTTATGGGATTTGATTTGCTCTTAACTATTTCCTATGCAGGAGAAAGCAAATTTTTAAGGCAAATATTTATAAATAGATATATTCTATATCCTGAAGAATACAAAGCATGAAACATAATGTCGATATAATAAAAACTCAAATCATGTGCTGAATACTTATTTTCTTATATTCTATACAAATATATATACATATATATATATATATATATCTACAAAGCAATAATCAGAGGAGTCTCAGTTTTTTATATTTTTTTATAAAATTTGTTTCAGATCTCTCGATCCTTATCAGTCAATAACATGTTTAGAATGTGATGATATAGAATTAACTATTTATAATCATGGAGATCTATTTAAAATATTAAAACTTTCAGTGGCTAATTGTAATCAACATTGCTGTCATGTACAATCTAATATTTGTAATAGGTGAGAATATTTTAAATATAAATCAGTTTATGTTGGCGAACATTTCAGAATCTTTTTAATTCACCAGAGCTGGGAACTTTTGAATGGTGGATATCGGGATTAATGCTTGATCCACTCTTTTTCTTAATCTCACGATTAAATAATGTTTGTTCTCCTTTCATTATTAATCTCAAGATTAATTATCCAATCGGGATTAAGAATATTACAATCTTAAGTTTTCAGAGCTGGGAACTTTAGAATGGATAAACTTTAATCCTGACTTCTTGATCCGAATATCCATTGTGGAAACTTTTCATTTTTGTTCTAATCCACTCTTTTTCTCTCTCTTGGATATCCGTTAATTGTTTTTTCCAATGAGAATATATCTGTTCTCTCATTGGTTGCCCGCTTTTCTCTGATTGGCTGCTACAGTTTCACAGATGATTAAATATTAATTTGAATTTTTCGTTTTTCATACACTTTTAAGATAATCTTGCAAGATTATGTTAATCTTGAGATTATCAAAAAGAGAGGATCAAGCATTAATCCCGATATCCACCAATCTAAAGTTTTCAGCTCAGCTCAGTTCTCTGAAAAAAGCGTGTTTCGGCTTTTAGCCTACTTAACATCATTGTATTGTGTTAAAAAGTGTTTCTAGGAGATACAATATGGGGGCGGGGTCTGTGATGAAAATTTTTTCACTCAGATGCCGTTAGAACCGTCAATAGTATGTCTAATATTCGAAAAATGTGCTCGGTCCCATTTCCGACGATATTAATTCTTGTTTTACTTACTAAACGTCGTTTTATTGTATTAAAACTGTAACTATTCCCTTGAGGTAGAGAGTTTTGTCTGCTTCAAAAAAACTACTAAAACATCTAGTTTCTATCTCATTTATTTATATAAAAGCTATATACAGCTATTAGAGGTGTATACAGCTATAAAAGCTATATACAGCTATTAAAGTTATAAACAGCTATAAAAGCTATATACAACCAGCTATTAAAGTTATTTTAACTATAAAAGCTGTATATAGATATAAAATGTGTTTGCATATATAAAAGCTGTATAAAGATATAAAATTTGTTTGCAGATATAAAAGCCGTATAAAGATATGAAACTTCTATGCAGATATAAAAGCTGTATAAAGATATAAAATTTGTATGCAGATATAAAAGCTGTATAAAGATATAAAACTTCTATGCAGATATAAAAGCTGTATAAAGATAAAAAATTTGTAGGCAGATATAAAAGATGTATAAAGATATAAAATTTGTATGCAGGTATAAAAGCTGTATAAAGATATAAAATTTGTATGCAGATATAAAAGCTGTAAAAAGATATAAAATTTGTAGGCAGATATAAAAGCTGTAAAAAGATATAAAATTTGTAGGCAGATATAAAAGCTGTATAAAGATTTAAAATTTGTATGCAGATATAAAAGCTGTAAAAAGATATAAAATTTGTAGGCAGATATAAAAGCTGTAAAAAGATATAACATTTGTAGGCAGATATAAAAGCTGTATAAAGATTTAAAATTTGTATGCAGATATAAAAGCTGTAAAAAGATATAAAATTTGTATGCAGATATAAAAGCTATATAAAGATATAAAATTTGTATGCAGATATAAAAGCTATATAAAGATATAAAATTTGAAGGCAGATATAAAAGCTGTAAAAAG